AATGCCTTCGCAACAGATTAATAAAAACAACACTTTTCTATAGATACAAACAGTTTCCTGGACAGCACATGTCCGCTATAATTTTTGGTGGGTATGTAACATGTAGCGAAGCTACTGTCGTATCCTTGGGTGACCTTGAATACTGTAATGATTCTTTACACCTGTATGAATAACACAATGCACACTTTCTGGCGATATGACATGTCTCCAAAACTCGTTCAAACCTGGAAACATGGAGAGTCAAACATACTCCATTTACGGCTCAAAATGACTGCCACGGTTGTCCCGAAAATCGTGTTTTAGGGATTTTTGAAAAATGGCCTCAATTTTGAATTATGGGTAATTTTGTGAGAAAAATGTCAAAAAATGCCATTTTTTCACCAATATGTCGACAAAAACTAGACTTACAATCAGAAATTAAAAAATCCCTAAAACACGATTTTTTATCTTATTCCTAGTCTGCGAAAAATATAAAAATCGGGGATCTGGGGTAATATACGTAGCCAGGTTTGAACGATGTTTGCCTAAAAACGTGGCATGACTTGTGCTCGGAAACCCGAAAATAATCGTCTTTCTGAGCGAAATTTTTAAAAATCAGTGATTTAACATAAAAAGCTAACATTTAAAGGATGTTAAGACGATAATTTCATTTTAATTTGACGAAATTTACCCCTAAATATTATTTGTTCATTTTCAAATATTTTACGGGTAGTCCAAAACAGGCCAAAATAGCGTCTTGTAACCCGATACCTTTTCGAACGCGCATAGCAATGGGAAAGAATGCCGTAGTGACAGACCGCCGTGAATGGTAAGATTTGATGTTACAAAGCGAAAGGATCAGGCATCGGAAGACATATGTCTAGACAAATACATTAAGGATTCACAAAGTGAATGATCTACAAGCCAAGGTAGACTGGTTCCATACTTATGTTGTTCAACAGCCTTGATGATAAAAAGAAAATGCAGGAAAGAACTTTCTTTGCTGTAATACGAATTCATTTGCATAATTAATGAAAGAAAATTCTACAAATCACTTGGTGAAGGTATGAGATCTCAGAACTCTTGCCGTATTCCAACAAAATACACCGTTTACATATATCGTTATATACCAATTATGTCAGTTTTTTTTTACAAATTGTATTTGGTATCAAGTGTTCTCCTTATTAAAACAACAGACAGGATAGAATGACTACACAGGCATTTTTAATTATTTTAGACGCCAAAGATAGATTAGAAGAACCCTTATCTTAAAAGACTAATTGCGGTGTCTCCTTTACCGTTCGTGCTATGCTGCAGGTAATTTGTTCTTTTCAGAGATACCAGGACTAATGAGTTAGAAATCCTGAGCTCATCAAGTAAAGCGGTAACTCCATGGCGCTTGTACTTTCATTAGTATGGCAGGTTCTTCAATGTATTGACTCGTTTTAGTTTAATGGTTAATTTTCTTATTCATATCTCACCATATTCTTGCTGCTGACAGTTTACGTCTGCTAGCAAAGATTTGTAATTTTGCTCTTCAAATTTCTTGTGTTCAAATCACAGTTCAAACTTGTTTCTATAATCAAAGCCTAAAGGTATTTCGAATATGCGAATCCCTCCAGTTGTGCATCTGAAATATCTGAAAAATGACGTGTCGTGATTGTTTATTAAACGACACTTCGTGTGTATTGAAATGGACGTGCGGTACGATTTGGGCAATTGGATCTACATGTAAATATAAACAAATGATGTAATTCCGGGTTAACCTTTTACAGTGCTGCTGTTGCATCAAAATGTGCCCTTGTTACAGGGAGGTCTACAATGTATCAGAGTGCTATCACAAAGACCCCACCGTGTTCCCCATTACTGGTGGTGTTGATAAAACTGGTTTGAAGGATAGAGATGGATGTCCTCGTTTCGAAAAGAATCCACTCAGGGGACATGTCCCAGTTTCTTCTAATTTCCCAAGGAATAAGTATGCACCACTTCATTACTCCTGTACAATTGTCCACATGTGGCATAATTAAGTCCGAATTAAATCTAACCCTTAATACTTCAAAGCACATAGGCGTGAAATAGGCCAGCTCAGTCAGCCGTAATGTACCTGTAATTATACCTTCTGTAAGACTAAAAAACATGTATACATATTTTACAAGCCGTAATAAATGAAACAAAAGACAACTCTGACAGCTGATAAATGAACTTACTGAGCTAACCATTTCTGACAAAAACATGATCTGTGTACAGCAGCTAAATGCAGTTGACCAATATATATTTTGCTCAGTGGCCATATGAAATATATAAAGATAGGGGTTGATGCCCAAAATGTGATGCATGATCTTTTCCTCCCAAAACATCGAATCTTACCCTTTTTACAGACTAGGTCCTTGATGTACAAATAACCATCATCAATCAAAGTCCGTTGCCCATTTGTAATGTAGTGACCACTGTGGATTTTGGGCGGGTTTCTAAAGAGTAATCATAAGTGATATTCTAAAACAGACAGTATAATGGTACAGGATTTAGTTCTTTAAGATCACTATCAGATCTTCAGAGCTGCGAAAATGGCATTATGATAATTGCAGAGCGCGAACTGCCCTAAGATTTGAGTTATAGCAGGCAAGATGTTGATTTCGTTGACCTGCCATTACTGGGAATGTAGTTCCCATATGTGAATAGTTATTTATGGCAGCCTTTTGGTGATAATGGTGTGTTCTATCATGCACTAAAGCTGTTTATATATCAGGCGCTACATTTGTCTTTTATCACATGTACAACACTTTGAAATAAATGTTCATGAATAATTCCAATGCCAATGGTAGATTGCAGCTGGATTTGCATGACATAATAGGATTTGCATATTAGGCATAAAAGTATTAACCATATGTTCTGGATGCCAAAATATACAATGTTCCAGAATTGCACAAATTACATAGAGATACCAATTTTTTGTAAATAAAATTTGGCTTACAGTGGCATACGCATTTTTTCCTTTGGGCATCATAGTAAGCTTTTCATGAAACTGACTTAAGTGCCTTAAATAAAAGAAATACTTTAGACGAATGTTCCAGTGATTTAGGCGCGCTCTTTACACCTAAGGCTTATCAACGCGTAACACATTGTAAACAATAAAGTTCAAGCAAATAGTGTGGAATGCACAATGTGGGGATTTTATATTTACCATGTAACACACGTTTTCACAATGTCAAATAGCATTGTCTGTAAAATTTGACATGCATAGATACCTATTTTTAGAAATGTTTTGCTAGCTAGAGCATAGCAGATGCATATGAGGATGAGTGAGTGAGTAAGTGAGTGAGTGAGTGAGTGAGTGAGTGAGTGAGTGAGTGAGTGAGTGAGTGATTAAGTGTGTGGGTAAGTTGGTAAGTGGGTGAGTGCACTTAAAATATCAGATCACTATTTATCAAAACATGAACAAATGCATGAATGCACAGACTGTTTACACCTATAAATATATAACACTGGCAAGCACTGTGGACTTCATCTTATTTTCTTTGTAAACTACTAAGATCAGCAAAGAGAAAAGCGTACCCATTATGATGTTATCCGCCAGAGTGAATGGCATGCTGAAGATCCCCACCAGTAGATCCCCCACGGCAAGGTTTAAGATGAAGAAATTTGTTACTGTTCGCATTCTGGGGATGTTGGCGATGACCAGACAGACTAAGGAGTTGCCTATCACACAGATAATGAAGAGGAGGATGTACGCCACGATGAAGACCACCACAACCCCCAGTGTCTGCTTCAAGCGAAGCTCGTCACCCTCCATGACTGGGTTGTGGTCTGTGGAGTTCTCCGATGGATCCATCCTGCAAACAAGAATGAACACACTGTAAGTCGTGTTTAGATCTCAAATTACAAGTAAGTACTTAGAATGAAGCGTCTTTCTCCACAAACATGTTTAAAATGACCTACAGTCATATCATGAGCAGACAAAAGTTTAGCCAGCGCCAGGCAGTCTGCAGCAGAAATTACTGTAATACCTGGTCATGTTGTGCGCCCTGAAAGCCATAGAAACCTAAGGCAAAGAAAGATAACAAGCAGTAACATCCGCGTCCTTTTTTTGCAAACGCAGCATGCACGAAAGCAATTTGGACCAGCCTGCATCTAGAATCTGGTTTCCAAATTACTTCACTTCAGGAACTTTCTGTAAAAGTCACCGGATATGCTTGTAAAGGTCATTTGACGAAGAGGTATTACATCCACTTCCTTTCAGCACTCATGTATACCTATTGAAAACCCCAAAGGCTTGTATCTATCTCCTACTGGAACGCCCTTCTTTAGAATTCAGTCGGGGCGATCTGTGTGTTACTTCAGTGGCCTTTTCTTTGAATCATAAAAGCACGACTGGCAAATATGCGCATATATAGCATATACGGTGTTCACAAGTACTTCTTGAAATTCCACCTGAGTATTCACTAGAATAGTTTCCTTTGAGTGGCGTTGATGTACCATACACACAAGTGCCACGGTCTGGTCATCGAGTCGTCAAAGATATACTTGACAAATACCGACCGGCAAAGGCTCTATGCGTGCCCCGGCGAGTAATGTATGGGTCTGAGCAAAGCCATTAACGCTTCCTTTGAGTATCCAAACAAACTCACAGCGTTAGAGATATATAGTATTTGGAAGCACGCCACATTATTAATAAACATACTTACATCGCACTATAAAGGCCTCTGTGCCAGACTGCCAGCTATAGTTTGCCTGTTTCTACAGTAGAATAGAAGAAAAAGCGGTCTAAAATATCCCCAAATGGACTCTAGATCTTCTAAATGTTCTTACCTCTACAAGATCGAAGATCAAAGATCAGTTAATGGCGTAGAACGGTCCACTTGTTCCCAGTCGCGATCGTCACCTGCCTACCTCTGCCGTGATTTAGTTCCATCCCACCAGACTTCCAAATAAGGGAGTGACTGCAGCAGCTGATGTTATGTGAGGTCGCTGACTGCTGTGTGAGGTAGGTAGTAAGCCTCTTTGCATCCGATTTTGATATGTTGCAGGACTTCTGGCTTATTTCCATGCATTGTCATTACATAGATACAAAGTGTCAAGAATGGTTTAACAATAATACGTTAACTCTGTGCAATACAAAATTATTCTTAAATGGCAGTAAACATTATTTTAATACATTTTTTAAATATCTATAAAACATAAACCCTGTTCCAAATATCTATATAACATAAACCCTGTTCCTCTTTACAACCATGCTCTTGTGCCTATGGTTAGTTATCGATCAACACAATCGTCATTAGTCCAGCTAAGTGATAGTCCCCTCTCGAAAGTTTACTTGCTAATTGATTAATGTGGATTACACGATTAACAAGCAGTCTTGAAAGACAATGTATCCAATTGCTTGGGCTGCAGAACCTTGTAGATTGAAGCAGTCACGAACTTACTCTCTGCCGACGTCAGAACATTACCAAGGGTCTCATCCCTCACGATATCTTATCAGATTTATCTCCCACAAGGCCGGATGGATTTTGTCAAGAGTTGCCAGCTTTACCGTCCCCAGTGATTGTCCGAGGAATCAGCTAAAAGCCCAATACTTCATACTTATAGCCTCCATGAAATGTCATGGAGGTTATACATGTATTTTCAGTTGCGTTCGTCAGTCTGTAGTTCTGTCTGTCATTCTTTCTGTTGGTCAAAAAGATAACTGAAGAACGGCTGGGTAGATTGGTTTCGTACTGTTATTTGGTGCGTTGGTAGGGTGTGACGAAAACTGGAAATGATTAGATTTTGGCCCCCCCCCTAATGTCTTCCCTTGCTACTGCAGCGCAATTTACGATTTTGATACCTCGTGATCTGGAAATGCTAGGGTCATGAATTTTGGATGGGAGGTAGCTGTCGTGCTGGGAAGAAGTCATGTGAGAAGTCTCGTTTATCCTGTATTTCCTTTTTTTCACTATTCGCCTTGGCTATACTGAAATGAATAGTCAGAATAGGCACCATACCCTGTACAAAATAATATTCGTCCATAATATTAATTATTGTTCAATTTTAAGCAATAGCAAAGTGATTCAGGCACAAGGTGCATATTAGATGGATGTATAAAATAAAATAGAATGAGGTAATTTTTCACTGCAACAAATATAGGAATGGCGCCATATTTTGCTTCTTGACCTTTAGTCAACATAACTTTTTTTACAACTAAACATCGTTAAATATTTAACTTTTCTTATCCATCACTTGGGGGGTCTTTAAATATGTTATGATGTTCACGGAGTCACCCAATAATCCAATATAGAGAGTATCTTGCTGGGTATATCGACCGTATAATGTGGGTGTTCCAATTTGATGTGATGAGTAGGTGGCTAGTTTGGTGTCTGGCCTTAATAACATGTTATCAATCAGACATCCTATGCTTTGTACCTTCCGTATGTTGCACCTTTAGATCTACTTTAAGTGTTACTTTGTTGAAAGTCTGTTCAATTAGAAGTATTCATACATTGCATTTATGTATTAGGAAGGGGTCACCACTTCAAAGTGACTTAGATTTTGCGAAATTGTGAAGCAGGACACTTACCATACACTACGCTGTGCCAAGAGCTTTAATCTAGATGGCCCAAATGCTTTCTTGAAGATAATTGTATATTGCTGGCATCTACGTGGCTCGAGTACTAAATCGGGCACAGTGATGCAGTATATGATTTACATGTACATTGTAGAATGGTCCGTATCTCACCTACACTTTTTTCATTTGGTTTAAAGGTCCATATGATATTACTATTTATTTTCATTGTAGATAAAATCCTATTGTTTTCATATCGTTCGATTATAATCTTGTAATCTTGTAATTTTTGCATGTGTTTTCGTATGGCGTATATTATATCATCTGACATTGATCGTATTACCGTACATAATCAATTAAGTTATTAATGGGCATGGCAACAAAACACTTAAGGTACAAACAAAGTGACTAACATGATTATCAATACAGTTTCAAACAGGAGATGAATTGAGAACTTTGCAAATAAAATAACAAAGGCCAATACCCATCAACGCATCTCGACAAAATAAAAAAAAGAATAAGTTCTCATACTACCAAAAATACATCATAGCCAATATCATATAAAAGCCTCAACCATACATATTTAAAATATGTGGGGCTAACATTATCAGCAAAATATCCATCATTCCCACTATAGTACAAACCCTAATATAAAAGTTTATTGAATAATTCGAACCACACTGAGCTCTATCAATAAACAGATTGCTATCTGACAGATTAGGTAAGTGTAAAAAATAGTCATCAAAACATTAGCTTTTTTGTATTATACACAGTTGAGTATCAAGAATAAATAATATGCTAAAACATATTTAATTGATATGTTTTGAGTTTACTGTGAGTAACGCCCCCTTGGTCTAATGAGCTGTGTGTATATGTAGTAAGTATAAATAATTGTGACCTATTGAATATTATGAGGAGACATGTGTACAGCCACCAGGCATCAGCTCCTGAGGCCCTCCGACGAATGGTGGTTAGATTAATTGACCTCTTGATGATTAACAACTGACCTCTATTTTAGCTGACCAAAATGTCTGCCCTATATTGTTGTCCCTATTACCACATGTTCATCATTATAGGAGCCCTGGCGATTTATCTCCTTAGATCTTTATGTAGTTGCTGGCTCGTCGAAATAAGAATATGCACTGTTAGATGTTAAGACAATTTATATTACCTACAGAGTCGGTCATTTTTTTAAATATCAACAATTAGATCTGGCTAAACAGTGTAATTGTGGAAAATTTGAGGGAAATAAGTTTCTAACATATACATGTACATGTATAGCACGTAGATTCCTCTAAGGATTCTGAATAATTTACTTTGGCTTTCAAACTTTTATAACTTTTTTAATGGTAAGTTCTGGCTTTTTTGAAGACATGCAGCACTTGGCATACCAGCAGAATCGTTAGATTACATTGAACAAAGAACACCAATATCCAAGCCCAGAAAGGCTTTGATGGGCCATACTCTCGCGGTTATACATTTTCCAACCAGAGATTATCACATACATCAAAGGGGTTGTTGAATTATTGAGATGCTAATGGCATTGGCATGGCGGGGCTAACGGTAATAGTGCGTGGATAATATGTGTTTGATGACGCATTTGGGAGTGACTAGAATAACTAACGTATTTTGCTCATCGTTGCTCAATTGCAAGTTTGAAAGTAAGTCTAAGATCAAAATTTTTCTTCGAGCCTCCCATGTTATTCTAAACTATTGAACATTTTTTCAACCACTACCGTTACTAATTAAGTTAAGGTATTAAGAAACATATAAGGATTTTTCATTTTTAAAGAACATGTGTAAAGAAATTGATATTGATTTACAAAGTACACATTGAAAACGCTTAAAACAATCATAAGAACGTCATGATAGCCCCTTTAACCCATAGCCCATAACAGCGTTACGGACAGCCAGACGGATGTATATTCACTTCTTAATTGGATTTGTCTCAGTGTCATCCACCGTTTAATAAAGTTAAAATAATGAAGATACTGCTAGGATCATCTGTATATTTCTTGTGTGTGTGTGTGTGTGTGTGTGTGTGTGTGTGTGTGTGTGTGTGTGTGTGTGTGTGTGTGTTTTTGTTACCAATTTGACATACCTTGATGCAAAGGACCTTTGAATTCTAAAATAATCAAAATGGCATGGCAGCAAAATGATTGTAGTTGTGCCCATTTATTCTATTCCTATTCAAATGCGCATCGGATTTTTATGAGCCTCAGACCAGATTGCTAGGTGTATAAGGTGGTAGAAATATTTTGTTTTATTCTGTCTTATTTTGAAGGACTTACCGT